TTAGTCACCGCGTTTAGCCCAATGTTCCAAACGTTTGGACAGTGAAAGCCAGGGTCTCCGATATGTTTGTGGGTTTCTTTTCTTTTGGCACCAGACATTTTGAATCAGCTCAACTAGTCCTGGTCGGTGATACTACAAAGAGATGCGCAGGCCAGAATCCATGGGACACGTCACAGAAGTTTGGAGGTGAAACTTTAGCCATGTGTTTCTTTCGACATACGGCGGATATCGTGCCATTGCAGTGCTTGACACTGTGCCCTCCAGTGCGGAGACGCTCACCGCCCAGACGCCCAAGACAACCAAAGCCAGAGATTGTCCAGTGCCATTTCCTTCCGTTTTGGAAACTTGGTGGTCCTTTCTCCTCCGGGCGATGCGCCGAGGATGATCGGCTGCATCCATTCGGGCCTTCGCCCATGGGACTGGAGAACTTGGTGGCCTTCATGGCATCGATGGATGTGCCAAAGTTGAAAGGGTCGGGCTTGAAGGGGGGGGATCCCTGGTGAGATGGATTTGTTTCTTGAAACAGTTGCACAAAATTTCATCTGCAAAGGTTGGTGTATCATTATTGTAGGCCTACCTGAGTGCAATGTGTTCCTTTTGACCCTCGTTTGCGTTTGTGGGGAAGTAGAGGGGCCGAGGGGCCTCTGGGAATTGGGGGTCAGGAAAGAGTTGCAGGAACGAAGCAGGGTATTGGACATGGCTGGAGCGAAGAGCATTTGGGAGGGAACTTAGCGCTCACTCCCAAGCTTTGCTTTTTACAGCAGGAAGTTTGGGCCTTTTTTTGGTCCAATCCACGGAGTTGAGCGAAGGATCCCGACTCGTGGATGACTCATAGATGACTCAAGCTTCGCGTGACTCATACAGGGGGAAAGCTATGGTTTGCAGAACAGACCATCTTCCAGCACGAAACGAATGACATCTAAATGAATTTCTGTGAGTGCCATGACTATCACTGTGACCCCCCTTTTGCAGATGCAACATCACAGCTTCGGGGCACTTTCTTGGGCTCTTCTCGGACAAAAACCGGTTTGTTCACAAAGCAGACTGTCTTTGTGAACATCCTACGGCGTGGGACGTGGGCAACATCCCAAGTCTGGACTTCATTTGGGACAAACAAGTGGTGCCCCGATTTCCAGCCTCTGAAGTTTTCAGTATTCCAGTTTGTTGCTCACGCGCATGTCTGAATATTCGTCACTGTCTTGAGTTCTGAGGTTTCTAGAAGTTCCATCTGAAGTTTTTCCGCCCTTGTTGGAAGAAACATCACACTAAACTAACTGGCCAAAGCACGGGTTGACTGTCCGACTCTGCCAGGTCACCAGGAAAGGGGTTCTGCGGGGCGCACCTGCTGGGCGCGTGTTGCGGAACCTGTGGCCCATCTTGACTAGGCATCTCGTCAAAATGCGGGGGAAATCGGAATCGCTTGCAATTTTACGGCGAGCTATTGGGAGGAAATTTGAAAACGAGCTCCCGATGTAGGTCCCTTACTTGGGAGGAACCATGAAGACCAATGGTGCATGCCTAAATTCAAACCACCCACTCATTTCTGCAAAGCATGGAAATCCCGATCAAGCCATCAATTGCGATTGATGATGACTGCAAGGTAGCCATTGCTTAAAGTAAGATGTACTGTATGTGTGGAATACAGACATCACACGCCCATCATGGCGTTTTGACTTCAGCGTCCTGGAGCCAAATCTGTGGTCGCAGCTCGCCGTGCACAAGTTGGTCTGATGCAGGAACTGGTAAAGGACTGAATAGTCAAGGTGGCCAAGCACCCCTTCACGCCATTGCACTTGCCCACATTTACAGGCCACACATCATCAGCCTGGAACAAGTGTCCGGATTCCCCAAGCATCCGCACTTTGCCGAAGTGATGCAGTTGTGGATGCCCGCGGGGTATCACTGTGCCAAATCAGGGGTCTTTAGCCTCTCAAGCGTTGCACCGACCCATTGACCAAGATGCCTGGCTATCCTCGTGAGAGACAACTGCCCCCGCAAAAGCGTGCGCCATGCATTTGATGAATGTGCATGCCAATGTTTGGTGCAATGAGCAACATGGAACGCGTACTTTGAGAATGTAACTCAGGTTTACTGGGATCGATCCCTGCTGCCAGTTCTCAAAAGAAACGAAAACATCATGTTTGTCTGGATTGCAGCCCGAACAAGCAATTGCCGACCATCATGAGAATGTACGGTGCCCAGCATACCATTGATCGGAACCATCTCCAGCAGCAAGGGCTCTATGGTGAGTTCGTTGCCACTCCGTTTCTGGGCACCAGCAAAATCGTCATTTGCCATGGTCCAGTGAGCAGACAATACCCAGGTGGCTGTGCATTGAGTGGATCGCAGCTCATTGGAAACTGCATTGCCACACTGCATGCTGTACATGCACACGGGCATGCATTGTGATATGTGGCACTGCACCTTGGCATTCAATGCAACCAGGCGTTCAGCAAAAAACACAAAGATTGTCAAAGCGCCACCAGGATGGGCAATTGTACCCAGAGACGAAAACCAGCCGAAGACCAAATCGCAGAATCCATGAGCCAGCTCTTTGCTATGAACGCAATGCTTGTGAGCATGAAGGACTCCTTGTAGGGCATGGCATCAGCCTGCTCAGTATCAGAGACGATGGGCTCGTCAGAATTTGGCGTCGCACGTACCCGACAGTTTCGCAAACCATCCCGTTTGCAACATGGCTTGAAGTTGAAATCATTACACCCGATGGAAGATCCTTCACCCTCCGAATCCAACATGGTCTCACATGCGGGTCGTGCGCTGCTCTTGCCATCAGAAGCGTCACCACATGGAAAGGAGTGAGATGCAAAGGCGAAATTGAACAAGGTCAGGTCATTTGCAACCTGAACCGCCCTATCTATGTCGTGCTTCACCCACCTTGAAGTCGCTTTGCGTAAGACCAGCCAATCAACATCTATGACATCCAGAGCGGTGAGTGCAACCTTGCAGCCGCATCCAGGCATGGACTCCAGCCCATGAAAAAAGTTGTCACTGCATTGCGTTTGATGGAATCGAGCGGAACTCATCAGAGCACCGTGGATTGCCGAGGGTGGTTTGCTGAGTGTGCCCTGAGGCGCAGTGAAGTCGTGCAACAAGGCAGCCTCCTTGAGCTTGTGATTCAACTGAATGGCTGTTATGAGTCTGGCCGCCTTGTGTACACACTTTTGAGTGCCAGACCTCCCGCCACCTAAAAATTGGATAGACTCCATAACACTTGCCCTCAGACCAAGGGAGCTTGACCTGCAAGTAGGAAACACGCTGCTGATCCAGATTGAGACCCCTTTTTTGATTGAAGAAGGTCTTCAAGAATCCTTCATCTTGCTCTGGGACTCTTTCTGGAGACGTGCAGCCTCAGGATCAGTTCAGCCTTGAAGGTGCCAAAAGCATACCGAAGCGACTTAAAAATGCTACCGGCACTTGCTGTTGCCGATCTAGTAAAAATCCCACATTGACAAACATCTTGCAATTGATTCCTGACTGTCAGGAATTTCCTGAGACCCCCTCAAAGCGTTCAACACGCTGGGAAGAGCCCCGTTCAATCTTGGTGTCCCAGACCACATCATCAGAACTTGGCAGATTTCGCGCTCAAAAACGGGTAGAAGTTTTGAAGTGAACCGAGCCGGTGTGGAATGATAGCCCTCAGCGTTCTCTTTGCACAGATTGTCTCAGAGCATGGCCCGTCTCCGCGAGATCGCACCCTGCATTTGCCTGCACTTACCGCCGTCCAAAAATTCGCTGACACGTTCCTGGTCACTGTTGGCTTATAAAATCATGGGCCGGGGCTGTGGGTCGCACGCACGAAAATGTATGGCGAAGCATCAGTGAGACACTCTTTGGGTGGACGGGCGCCATCATGATCGTCCCTTGTGCCAAACAAAGAACTTGGCGCAATATCCGCAGCACGTGTGGTTCGCCCAGAACCACTTTGTTGCACTTTCTGGTCTCGTTCCAGCATTTGGCTTAACTTGGTGCAGGTTTAGGGCTGCAGGTATAGGGTTTAACTTGCCCTCAAACCCCCTGTCCAGGGTTTAGTTTTGGGTTCAACTTGCCCTAAAAAGATCACTTTCGGGTTCAGGTTTTAGGTTCCACTTGCCCTAATTTTGTAAAGGGTTCTCGTATAGCGTTTAATTTGCCCTCAAACCCCCGTTTAGGGTTCAGGTTTAGGGCTCAACTTGCCTGAAGCCACTCCCCCCGTTTAGGGTTTAGTTTTGTGTTTAGCTTGCCCTCAAATCCTCACTTTAGGGTTCAGGTTCTGGGTTTCACTCGCCCTGATTTAGGGTTCAGGTATAGGGTTTATCTTGCCCTCAAACCCCCAGTTTAGGGTTTAGTTTTGGGTTTAACTTGCCCTCAAATCCGCACTCTAGGGTTCAGGTTTTATGTTTCACTTGCCTTAATTTAAAATTTAGGGTTCTTGTATAGGGTTTAACTTGCCCTCAAACACCCCGTTTAGGGTTTAGGCTTTGGTATTAGGGTAGCTGTTTTGCACGTTTGCTGGAACAGGAAGAGTTGAACATGTAGTCATGCGGACGCTGAATTCCCTTGGAGTTTGTGGGATGCAACACATCTCCAAGGACAGGACCAATTCAGGGAACAGTCACTGAGCCACCAAGCAGTGTTTTGCCTTTAAAGCCCCTTTTGCAGCAACGTAAGCAATCTTTGAGACATAAATAATGTTTGAAGGAGGTTCACTTCATTATGGAATCAATGAAGCCTTATTGTTGGTAGTTTGAACGGGAAGACCCACCCCCCTCTCTCAGGTGGCCTGTTGCAAGACATGTCGCTTGGGTCAGGGATTATTCGGCAAGCGCTATGTTGGCTGCAAGGGTTTGAAGCACACATCGTGTTGACCCGGGGGAGAGCCAGAGGGCCAGAAGCACATCCCCGCAATCACGATAGGCCTCCTTTGTCGGATTCAAGGTCCACAGGGATGGCAAGTGGGATTGAGCGCAGTGCAGCCTTGCCATATGAACCTCTGCGCGAAATGCCGCAATGAGGCACACTTCACACGTTGTACCAGGAAAACCGTACTTACACTCCAATTCGAAACAGATTGGTTGACTTGGACTTGCAAGAACAGTTGCCGGGGCCCAAATCAAGTGGGTTTGAGGTGCGAGGTTTTGACAAGTGCTCAAATTCCTGGCCAGGCTGGCACAGGTAAGGGGTGGGTTTCCTGCATGCTCCAGGTCATCCTGCTTAGACCCCGCAACAGCGTGTTCAACTCTTTGGGATACGAAAGTGAAGGCAGACGAGATGGATTTCTATTTGAAGGGGTTTTGGCTACTCCTTGACGATCTTAAAAACGGCCTCTCCGGCTCAGGCGTGTCGATAACGAGACGGCATTTCAGGCCTTCCGGCTGGTCTGGGTGTTTTTTCCATTTGTTCAGTCTGACCCTGGAATTTGTTCAGTCTGACCCTGGAACCCACGCTAGGTTTGTTGGGTCCTGTTGGTTTCATTTTAGTGGCTTTCCTCTTTTTCCCGAAAGCATTGCGAAGGGTTCTTCCGGTAAGGTCGTTGCGTTTTGCGCGGCTCAACTGCATAGGGAAAGTAGACAGTGAAATGCATAGAGGCATGCATAGGGAAAGCGCGCTGTGAAATGCATAGTGGCAGGCATAAGGCAAGTACAGAGGTACAGAGTGAAGCGCATAGATGCAGGCGCTGGGAAAGTAGACGATGTAATGCATAGAGGCACGCGCAGGGAAAGGAGACAGTGAAACGCATAGAAGCACGCAAAGGGAAGTACTCAGTGAAACGCGTAGCGATCTTGCATTCCTTCTCGCACCACCATAACTTGCGCGAGGAAACTTGCACGCTGACTTAAAATTAGTATCTTAAGGCGGCGCGGTGGGACCAGGCGCACTCTGCGAAAAGGAGACCCTCTCAGTTTGTGTGTTGTGTTTGCGTGCCTGTGCCTGTGCCTGCAAACGTACGAGCCCGCAGTCGCAGGCCCATCCGATGATTTTGCCCCCTGCCCCCCGCACGAACTTGCGCAACTTCTGCAAGCGACGCGTCTCTTGCGCACAACAAAGCTCTGCTGGTGGCTCGTAGAGAGGGCCCTCTCAAGCGGTCTCGCGACGACCCTCCCAAGGGTTCTGCAAAATCTTGCCAAGATACCATACCAAGAGATCCTGTAGATCCTTCAAGAGATCTTGCGCTGAGATCTTGTAAAAAGCCAAAGATACTTTCTACAGACCCTTCCAAAAATTCTTGCGCAGGAGGAAAGATTTCCTTTCAAAAGGTCTTCTAGAGGGTGCTTCGTAGAGGGTCCTCTGATGGATCCTGGCAAGGAGATCCTAGCCAAAGATCCCACGCACACATCTTGCGCAGGTCAAGGTCTTGCACGACCTGTCGAAATATTTCTTGCGAGAACCCTGTAGAGGACGCCCCCTACAGATCTTGAACAGAACCTTAAAGAGATCCTACGCAAAGATTCTCCACAGAGATCTTGCTGGTCCTGCATGGAGATTCACCCACCAGATCTTGCTCAGGACCTGCTAAGGTATTATGGCAAGACATCTCGTCGAGGACAGCTACAGATCCTGAAAGGAGAGCTTGTAGAGGGTTCTCTCGCAGACCCTGCGCACAGATCTTGCCAAGATCGTATCAAGCGCCCCTGTCGCGGTATTAACCAGGAATGAACACTAATAGAAACTCTTTCAGAGAGATCTTGCGCTGAACCTTTTTCCACTGGAGATCTTCTTTCGGAGCTGCAGGGGCTCTTGTTAGTTGCATGGGTTCTTGTCTCACTTGTTGTCACTTGCCGCGATATGTTTTTGATTCCCGCCTGTGGCCGGAAACTACGCTTCCTCGAGGGCCTCCCCCCCTCCCAAATAGAAGAACACCACGCTTCGACACACTCCCAGACAAACCCCCAATGCACGTTGCCAGACGCAGCTTTTGCAGAGTTCTTAGAACTCAGCCAGATCTATTTTGTAGAGCACGTGGAACTTATTGTTATGAAGCTTGAGCTTGTTCGGCTCATGGGAAAAGGTTTTGGCCCTTGGTTCCCTTCCCCTCAACCAGCGCGGCTGACTAAAGGGGGTGAGGCTGAAGACTACCGTCATCTTTTGGCAACTCCGCTGCGCCGGGAACGCAACCCGATTTCTTGAGATTAATTAGTTTTTCGTTGTTCAGACATTGGAGCCCGGAAACGCCAGTGTGGTGGTCAGGGATTCTGATGATGCCCTTTGTCTTCGTGGGTTGAATTCATGTCCAGATGTCTTTGTGAACGTCCTGTCTCGCTGTCCTGAGCGCTGACCATCACCAGGTGGCGGTCCCGCTGCAGGTTTCACAGTCGGAGCCGTGCATTGGCCAGGCTACCAGTTGTATCATATACGATGCTATACATGTGACGTGCGTATCTATGTGTGCATCCATCTATGAATGCGGTGAGGCCACCTCCCCTGGATCATTTTTCCCCGTTCCAGGTCAGCAAATCGGTGGTTCGCATCAAGGAGTTCTGGTCACACTCCTGGCACGGCAGCACCTGGCGGAAGGTGCTCACGCTGCTGGTGGTCAAGATCCTTGGATGAGTAAGCCTCAATAAGGCATTCGTTCGGCTTCAGAAGGAGATAGCCCCTCCACCCCGCCCCTCATTGGTCCATGAGAAGAGTGTACTCGATCCAGGAAAAACACGAAAAGCAACTGAAATCAATGTCACCGAGCGGTACCAGTGTTTGCAATGATGTAATGTTTTTTGTTTGTGTCATGTTGCCCATCGAACTTACCATGTTGCCGTGCTCAGGCGCTCAGATACGATAAGAATTAGTAAGCTCAATTTGGGCGAATTGCATTGCAGATAGAGGGAACCTCTTCATTTTGATGGGTTCACCATGTTTGCCTATCAGCTCAGCCTGAAACGTGGATGCGAAGCTTGCCGAAAATGAGTTTTGCCGACAAAGCATAGGCAGCCAAAGCAAATGGACCGACCAAGCCTGAAACGGTCAGTGACTGATACAAACCTTGACCGTTTCCTAAGCACGCAGGTACCACCACCGTAAGAAATGATGCTTGGAGCGGGCTTTCCCTCCAAAAGTCGGGTTACGGCTCTTATTTTGTAACCCCTGCTCCGCAACAAGCATTCATGCTAGCTCGTTTACCCAAAATAGAAACATTAGTGATGCCCGTGTGTTGTGTGTCTCCGAGTGTTTTTGTCTTTGATGTCTAAGAAAACATGATGAAACTTGCGAAAGGACTAGCTGTACAAAGATCTGCCAAGGGTTGCATTGGTGGCTTTTGTCCTTGTTTGCAGGGTTTCCTTTTGTAGGCAGAAACAAAGAAGGGAATCATATCTACTTCGGATGAGCCTCTTAAGACCAATGGAGGGATTGATTCATTGACCTTACCACTAGGGGTCCAGTGGTGTGCATTGCCTTTGCCTCGTTTTCCTTTCTAGGTTTCGTTGTTTACAAGAAAGAAGGACTCAAAGGGGTCTGCCAAAACCGCAACCTCACGGACCTCACGGACCTCACGTTTGTGTTTTCTGGGGATGGCATTTGTCTCAAACGAGCTCTAGGGAAGCGAGCCAGACTGAAGCTTGCTCGGGAAGCCGCTGGCCCGGCGGACATGAAAGCTTCGGATTGGGTAGAACCTGATTCGGCCGATGGACATGGGGACGGGAACATTGTCCACATGTCCCGAACTCTGAAATTTGGGGATGTAGGCTTTCCAAACATGGGGATATGTATGGTGCCCCTTGCTTTCCCCTTGGTCGCTTCCCCCTACTGAATACCCCTAAAAGGCAAATATAAGTCTGCGGAAGCATGAATGAGTGATAGCTTTCCACAGAATGCAATGTAAGCCTTTGATTTGTCATTGAACTTGCAAAAGGCGGTCGATGTGTTGCTTTCGGGAGGAAGTTCAAGCATACCTGTCCAATGCCATACCTAGTCTGGCTGCCTTCTTCCCTGCTTTTTGGTGGTTCTCAGTAGGGAATCCGGCCTTCTGGGAATGAGCCAATGGATCTCTTTGTAATCTAGAAGAGGATGGTTAGGGGTTCCCTGATTCCCTAAGCAAACTGAGGAACGGACTTGCGGCGCTGATTTCCAGCCTCTTTTTCGCTTTGCTTTTCGCCTTACTTTTCGGCTTTGGTCTGTTGCCGGCCTACGGCGCCGGCGTGGAGACGGAAGACGAGGGCGAGCGAGTCTTCAGCTCTGCGACTCGTCTGCTCGCGCACCTGCCGCCTGCCGAGCTGTTTGCCACACATGCACCTTTTTTGCTTGCCTGCCTGCTGGCCTGCCCGCCTGCATGCTTGTTTGCTTGTTTGCTCGCCTGCCTGCATTTCTGCTTTCTTGTTTGCTTGCCTTCATTTCTGCTTTCTTGCTTGCTTGCTTTCTTGCTTGCTTGCTTGCATGCTTGCATGCTTGCATGCTTGTATGCTCGTCTGCTCTGATCTGCTCTGCTTGATGGCACATGTACCTGCCCTGCCTGCTTGCGTGCTTGTTTGCTCTGCTTGCTTGCTTGCTTGCTTGCTTGCTTGCTTGCTTGCTTGCTTGCATGCATGCTTGCATGCTTGCATGGTTGCATGGTTGTATGCTCGTCTGATCTGCTCTGATCTGCTCTGATCTGCTCTGATCTGCTCTGATCTGCTCTGATCTGCTCTGCTCTGCTTGATGGCACATGTACCTGCCCTGCCTGCTTGCTGCTTGTTTGCTCTGCTTGCTTGCTTGCTTGCCTGCCTGCCTGCCTGCCTGCCTGCCTGCCTGCCTGCCTGCCTGCCTGCCCTGCCTGCCTGCCTGCCTGCCTGCCTGCCTGCCTGCCTGCCTGCCTGCCTGCCTGCCTGCCTGCCTGCCTGCTTGCTTGCTTGCTTTCTTGCTTGTGTGTTTCGTTTTGGTTGCGTGCTAACGTGTTGCACGAGTTTTCGTTTCAATGGTCCATTTGTTATTTTCTTGCTGGCGTTCCTCTGCGGGGTGACCTTTCCTTCCATGCCCCTGAAAGAGATGTCCAATCTCCTTGCTTAACCCTCAATGTCAAGAGCTTGCAACAAGTGCTTCCAAGTATCACTCAAGCAGCTCACCTATTTAGGCGTTACTTTTGCCTTTTCCTGGATATGCTTTACTCATTCTGTTCTGCGTTTGGCATGGTCTGGTTGGGTGCCTTGAGGTGTGGGCCCTATCAGCGGGCTTGGTGTCCGGCTGCCTCACCCTGATTTTCTGGCGCCCCCAGAGCTCTATTTTCCTGGACCGGGTTTGCATCGACCAGCGTAGTAGTAAGGCCGGCACCTTCGCCATTGGGATGGATGAAAGCATTGCATTGCGACCCTTCTGGTTGCCAACCGGTGCAGGATTTTGTCCATCAATAGGAAGGTCACCAAAGACCGTCCCTTTTCCCTCTGCAGCAACCCATACCATCTCCTACATTGGAACGCTTCTGAAATTTGAATGCAGTGTCTCCAGTTACAACTAGTTGCTTCTTACCGCTCGGTTTCACTTCTGGTTCCCCTGGATACCTCCTGTGGTAGCAGGAGGCACGGCCACAACCTGACGTTTGTTGTTCTCTATATCTACTGGTTGAGAGACGTGAAGAAGGTTAAGCCTTTCTTGTTGGTTGCGTCGTCTTGGCGAATGTTTGGACGGGAGATGTCATGGGAGAAGGCCTGCGACGCATGAACAGCCAAAAGCGCATTAAATACGGGACTCCAATCCAAAGTGCCATGGTTCCGTGGTGAGTTCGAAGTTCTAGATGTATTTCCACGAGCTGCTATTGAAACACTTAACAGTTGCGACTTTGCAAACCGTGCAAACAACATTGGCTATGTGGGTCCGTAATTGTTGCGCTGTGGAACTGCGGCGCGGCAACTGTTTCTTTGGACAATGCTTGGCTTCAAGAGCACGAATTCTGATCTTGTTTGGGGGTACAACAAGCTCGAGGGATTCTTTGTCAAACTTTTCGATGGCATTCAGTGTGGTCTGTATATCCTGTGGCTGCCAACGGAAACCGCAAACTCAGCTGGCTCACATGATTTCTGTATTGGCTATCGGGAGCGAAGACACTTGACATGGATGTTTTCCCACAATTTAGGGGGCATGAGATTTTAGGAGGCAAAAGCAGTCCTCGGGTATGTGACTCGGCGTTCGCTCAACACGTCCAGAATGATTATTCTGATATGCATTTCCTTTGGATGGGATTCTGTGAACCACGCCCAGCAGGCTAAAGCCGAGGGCACGCTGAACATTGGTGCGTTTTTGAAGAACTCGGAGGCGATGTTGGTCCTTTGGGACTCTTCCTACGTTGAAAGGCGGGCAAGCCATCCATCGTTCCAAGTCGCTGTCGAAAAAATTGCTTTGTTCAGGACCGCGCGTGAACTTGTAAGAAACAGTTGCAACGCCCTGCATTGCTTTAGGGGTATGTGTGTGTGTGTGTGTGTTGAGGGTACCTTTTGTGGGGCGGTTTCGAAAGGGGAAACCAACCGGAAAGCAGCTATTGTGGAGATCTCCCCAGTTTTAACACATACCCAATCATGATATCCCAATACGCGATGGATACGAGCTGTTTGCTGTGGGTATGCACGCTGCATTGCCCAATGGAGAATCTGAAAGCTGTTTGTCTGTAAATATGCGTAATATGATATATATATATATATATGTACCTGTATATGGCTTCATTCAACATATCACACTATGGTGTGTGTGTGTGTGTTTGGTGCTGATAATGTACATGGATTCGACCTTGTTTGCTTGTTTGTTTGTGTGTGTTTTCTTTGTTTGTGTTCCTAGTCTCACATTATAGTTGCCTTTGGGGCCTGTCCAACACTTGGGACCTGTTCATGTGAAGTTCAAAGGGCGAAGCCGAACTAGACTGGTGGAGGGTTCCGATTCCTAAAGCAGAGGCGTTGCCGTCTCAGCAAGACTGGTGTGCCCATTACACCAGGGTGAACGCAAAAAGCACAACCCCCTTTGCGTGGGTGAGTAATGGGGATGACTCAAATCAACAAGATGAATTATTCTGCCAGTTACTTTGACCCGATTGAACCTTGTGGAGTTTCCCCTATGGTAACGGAAGACATCACCAGTGTTCCTTGGGAAACGCTCAGGGACTTCCTTTGCTTCCACTACTGCAACAGACGCTGTTCCTTTCCCAGATGGCTTAGTAAAGGTGCCAGACACCGACAATGTCTTTTTTTGTTGAAGTCTGTTTTTAAGCCACGACCCATGGGCTCGTTTATGTTTTAGTGCTGAAATGCTGGTGAACATTAGCACACATGTATGCAAAGTGTATTTTATACAAGCATACACTCTGTGTACACAGACAATTATATTGTACAAACAGGTGCGTGTCAAGCTCGGGACACTTCAAATTGGAACGATTTCATGTTGGTTCGCTTTTCAAGGCGTCCTTCCAAGATGCTGCCTCTAGGTTTGACACAAAGCCATGTTCCTTTGCAATTATGACCACCAAGCGCAAGCGCGAATCAAGACTTCCTACAACGCGATCAAGAAGCGCGACCCGCTTTGCGAGCTGAGCTTTGCTTTCTCGCGTGAGATAGTTGGTGCCTTTCCCATGGCGGCATGCACTGTGAGTTCGTCAACGAAATGCTTTTGTCTTGCTTGTGCTCCTTGTATTATCATTTCTCATCCAGTGTTGGCTGAGTCAACACACTTTGGTTCCTGATCCTTGCAACGACTCCCAGACCAAAGCAACGCCACCAACCACGGGCACACAACCAACCAACCCAACCCACCCACCCACCCACCCAACCAACCAACCAACCAACCGGGTAACTGCAAGAGCGTTGCCCAGAGCGCGAGAAGGGTGCGCCGCGGAAGCCGTGAACTCAAGGCTGGCAGATCACGTTGCAGAGATCCGGCACACGCAGTATCTCGCGCAACTGCGAGAATGGGCGTGCGAAATGGGCAGAGCAGTCAAATGGAGTAGCCAGGCGTTAGTGTGGCAGCATCAAGTGCTGGAGATTTTGACACTGAAGTGCAACGACGACTGCCAAGCATAGCATACTCTGGCACCCGCCACGTGTGCTTGCAGGCGTTTGCGCATTGGCACGCAGTTTGCAGCTTTGTTTGCATTGCAGTTTGGCAGCTTGCCTTGAATCTTGCATGGGTGTTTGCGCAAGATTTGCACATGATTGCGATCACATTGCAAGCATCAAGGAATCTGCCCCTTGCACAATCGTCGCTTTGGCGCCCTGAACTCTGCCACCAGCCACCCATTAGATTTACTGGCCCAGGCTGTGCGCAGAAATAAGAAACAGACACACGCAAGAAGTGACTAACCTTTGCAGAGGTCAAAGACCCGAGCTTCGCCGTTGCGCTGGCAGCCGGAAAGGAATCCCGCAAACTTGCTAAGCAGCATGAGCTTTTTGAAGCCCATTGCACGTGTGTACAAGAGTGGCCTACTAGGCATCACCTCACCTGCGCTTGCCCGGCTCGGGAGCCAACCTCGCGAGCCCGCACCAGTGGACAGAGCCAGTGAAGACTTTGAGCCTAAGGAACTTGTCGCGCGACTATCTGCAAGTCGCCGCAACCGTGCCGGCGAGGCTCTCATCGCCACCGACGGTAGTGTCAAAGCACTCGGCAGACAGCGCCGAGCTGCGTGGGGCATCGCCTTTGGCTGTTCCAGCGCCTTCGCACCGCACGGGTGTGATCAGCGCATGTACAGCGCAGAGGCGTGGGCCCTGTTACAATCACCCTTGATGATTGAGCAGGCGGCAACACCTGCCATCATCTTGTGTGACTGCAAGAGCGTTGTGCAGACTGCGAGACGGGTGCGCCGCGGTGGCAGGTTGCCTCTCTGGTCGGCTGCGCTTTGGAAACTGATTGCAATTCTTGCGCCAGCGTGCCGGATTCTCCGGGTCCCTGCGCATGACCGGCATCCTGACTGGAAGCCACCGGATGGCCACAATGCGGTCGAATGCCCGTGAGACTGGGCATGCGAAAAGGGCAGAGCGGCCTATAACCAGACGCTGGTGTGGCAACACCAAGCGCTTGGACTTTGACAATGAAGTACAAAGACGGCTGCCAGGCAGTCGGACTCTTGAGATTGCAAAGGACACCCTGTCCTAGCAGATATGTGCTCACACAACAAGCATTTTTTGGCGCGTGCCACTTGTGCTTGAAGGCATTTGCGCACTTGCATGCATCATTGCAGCTTATTGCACCTTGGGGATGGTTAACGCATTTGCTCATTAGCTCTGCACATGATTGCGATTGCATTCCAAGCATGTATGAATTTGCTGCTGTGACCTGGCGCTTTGGCGCCCCGAACTCTGCCACCAGACCCCTGTGGCCCAGGCTGTGTGCAGAAATAAGAACACACACAACCAACCAACCAACCGGAAAGGCTCTGGTGCATCTTTGAGCTGGCAGCATACCTCAAGAGCCATGAGGAGGCGGAGGCGCGGATTTTTCGTCAGGTTTGACGTGGACGTACTTGTTTGGAAATGAGCAGAAGGACTTTTCATAAAGTGGAGGGGTTGCCTTTTCCCGATGGTGAATGGTTGGTTCGACTGCAGGGCAGCACCTGCTACAGCTTGGTCAGCATTCAACAAGTGTTTCCCTCCCCCTACAAAAACAATCTTTTTGTTAGAAGCTGTCTAACAAGATTACGCGCAAGATGGGAAAACCACCAGGAACGGCTGGGGATCCGACCCACCTTCATCGGCCCCTGCTGCGTGGCCATGAGTCTCTGCTTGGTGGGCTTCATATGCGAATCAGCTGCCAAAACAGGAGTCGGAACCTTCCCAGCGGGCTTCAGTGCCCTTTTGATTTCAGCCGCCCCAGAAAAATGTATCGAGCCTCAAGAAAAGACAGGCTCCTGTTTGGCTTCATGTGGCCCGTGCTGAGCGTGCACCAACTGGCCTGTGCTGCACGGACACCAAAAAGTTGTTGTTGTTATTGTTGTTGATGTTGTTGTTGTTGTTGTTGTTGTTGTTGTTGCTGTTGCTGTTGCGGTTGTTGTTGTTGCGGTTGTTGTTGTTGCGGTTGTGGTTGTGGTTGTGGTTGTGGTTGCGGTTGCGGTTGTGGTTGTGGTTG